TTATTATTATTATTATTATTATTATTATTATTATTTAAGGTACACAATACTATAGTCTAATAGAGACAGACAGAAGTTGAGGAAGACAGGAGAGAAAGAGGGGAGAGAAGGGCAGGAGGAAAGAGGGACGTGAGGTGGGTGAGAGAAGAAGGGTGAAATGCAAGATGTAGATAGAGAGAGGGAAATACAGACAGAATGTGAGAGACAGAAGGAGGGTGAGAAAGACAGAACAGAGAGAAGTAGGAGTGTGAGAAGGAGGGGGGGGGAGAGAGGGGGAGACGGATGGAAGGAATGAGAGCGACAGGGGCGACTGAATGAGTGAGTGAGAGAGAGAGAGAGAGATGGAGAAATGAGAGAGAGAGACAGAGAGGGAGAGAAGTAGAGGTAGATGGAAGCAGAGAGAGGAAAGGTGAAGGAGAAAGGAGGAGTGAATGAATGAGAGAAAGAGAGGGTGTGTGTGTGTGTGTGTGTGTGTGTGTGTGTGTGTGTGTGTGTGTTTATATTAGTTGAATTCCTCCCCTGTTGCTTCAATGACTCTCAGCTGGATGGATGTTTGAGTGACTGATCATTTCCTGTGTGCAGAGCCTGTGGAGGCGGCGGTGGAGGTGGAGGCGACTCAGACAGAAAAAACTGCCCCGGGTGCCTCGTCTGAGAATCCGTCAGGACGCAGAAACCCTCCTGGAGGAAAATCCTCCCTCATCCTGGGCTAAAACACACACTCACTCACTCACACCTCTCTCTCTCTCTCTCTCTCTCTCTCTCTCTCTCTCTCTGCATCACGTCACATCCAGAGCCACGTTTACAAGCATCTGGTCTTCAGTGACCAAACTGTGTGTGTGTGTGTTTGTGTGTTGAGATGCTTTGTAAATCCAGGCCTCGGTCCTGTTTGCTCCCTGTATTATTCCCGCTCCATGTCTTTTCTCTCGTTGTTACATAAGCGGATGAATTGCGTCTCTGCTCCACTTCCTGCCTCTTTGTCCTTCCTGAATGTGTGTTCTGGATCATGTTCGGACCTGCAGATGCCTCTCATCTCTTCATGTTTAATTTCAACAATTTGTTTCTCCAAAACAGTGTAAAGCTGCAGGCTCTTGTCTCGTCCTTCTCATTCCTGGGTTTATACGGATTTAAAATGTTTGTGTGCATTTCTACGTATAATAAAATATTGCTATGAAACTAATAACTGTGTGTGTGTGTGTGTGTGTGTGTGTGTGTGTGTGTGTGTGGTTTGACGTCTGCTTTCACGTTTATGCCAAGTGATTAATAATACACACCAATCAGAATCCTCCGAGCGGAGCTATTTAGAGATAATATAGTTCATGTTATAATTATGGGCGGCTTTCCTGAACTGTTGTCGGTCAGTCTGCCTTTTCTTTGCATGCTTTACATGACTGGAATGATCTTTTAGACATTTTAAAATAGAATATTTCAAATGTACAAAGATGTTTGGAAATCAGAAGTGTTATACTATACACTATATATACACACACACTGTACACATGTATGTTATATTTGTTCTACACAGAAAGACTTCAGAAGTTTACAGAAACATTCTGTCTGAAAATTTACAGAGAAATGCATCCAATTTAATCAGGAGGAGCTTCATCATGCAGCAAGACAACGACCTAAAGGGGGGAAAAGGGGAAGGTTTTAGACTGGCCAAGTCCATCAGCAGACCTTAACCCACCTGAGCAGTTCACCTCCTGAAGAGGAGACTGAAGGGAGAAACGCCGTGTAACCCTCTCTAAGGGTAGATACACACTAGGTTCGAATACTCGTGTCCAAGGCAATTGGATTCTAATGTGGTGAATGGTACGATTGGAAGTCATTGACAACACACAGATTGATTCCCCTTTCACATGAACTGTATTGAAATGTGTACAATATATAACTCAACTGTTGTACCGAGAACATCAACAAAGTGTGCTGCGCAATCAGTATATGTGTTCAGGGTTTTTTTTCCCCAAGTTCCACAGTCCAGTCTAGAAGATAATGGAGAAATAAGCTCTGCCTTTTTTTAAAAAAAATTGATGAAGGAAAAAAACAACAAAAATAAGACGAGGTCAAAAAAAATGTTCTATTGATTCTGATCTGTAACTTAGGAGTTGATAGGGGAAAAAGATATACGGTATATCCAAAAGGGATGCAATCAAGGCCCACTGAGATCCTACTGCACAGTGGTATCATCTGAAACATCCTTCGGAAAGCAGTGACTCCATGGATCCAACGATCAAGGGTGGGTGGCTCGCTATCTTCCTTCCAGAAGAATTCAATAGCCTACAAAAAAAGCCTGGCCGAGATTCAAGTTCACTATCTACACAAGCAGAAGTCTCAAATTCACAGAAGACAGGATACAACTTCAAAATCCAAACGCTCAAGTGCTTATGACAACTTTGTCATCTTGTAGAATGAGTATCAGCTCGCAAATCTCTCTAAAGTGATGCATTTTAGAGTAATCAAGCAACTTCTCTGCATCGGCACAACCGGAATCTCACTCACTCGCGCGACCCCCA